GACGCTACACGCTAGTTGAGCAGCTAACCCCAACCCGAACCCCGTGCGCTGCTGCGCTCGCCCTCCCCTCCCACCCGTCTCTTCGTCTCGGCTCGATTCGTTCCCCCACTCGGTCTTCGTCTCCCTTCCCCCCATCCCTCACCCCTCTCGCCAGCGCCGCGCTCTCGCGTTCCGGCCGCCGTTTCCACCATTTCTCCGGGGTGCTTGCCTTCTCCCGCTCCTGTTTTCTCTACGGGGGCGAGATGAGGTGAGGCGGGCGGCTCGGTTTTCTTGCGGGACTTCGCCGAGCTTCCGTGCGCGCAAAGGTAACTAACTAGCCAACTGCTCCAATCGAATCTCCAGCCCCCGCTCGTCGGCGATCGTCGGTTTTGATCCGTGTTGTGGCGCTGGACTCGTGCAGATCCGAGGGGAGAAGCGGGCGTGGGAACCGCAGGACCGCGGGTGATGCAGAGGGAGGTGGGGCCGCAGGTGGCCTCCCCGCTGTACCTGCACCAGATCCAGCCGCTGCCTCCCCATGCGGCGGCGGCGGCCAGGAAGCGCGGGAGCCCGTGGCCCGCCGTGGAGCCGCCGGAGAACGCCGCGATGGGGGCCGGCGCCGCGGCCGGAGGGAACTGGAACCCCAGCATGTGGGACTGGGACAGCCGCGCCTTCACCGCCAGGCCGTCCTCCGACGCGCTCCGCCTCGGCGGCGGGCTGAACCACCACCACCATCACCACCACCAGCAACAGGCGCAGCCGCCGCCGGCGACGGCTGCCGAGGTGCAGCGGCAGGGGGGCGGGGGTGCCGGTGACCTGAGCCTTCAGCTGACCTTGCGGGAGGAGGCATCGATGGCGATGGATGTGAGCCCGACAACTACCTTGTCTTCTTCGCCTTCTCCGCCTGCACGGGCGTCACAGGAGCAGGCTGTTAGGCCTAGCAAGAGGGTTCGGTCTGGATCGCCCGGAACTGCTTCTGGAGGAGGTGGCGGTGGCGGTGGCGGAGGGAGCGCTAGCGGAGGCGGCAGCTATCCCATGTGCCAGGTGGATGATTGCCGCGCGGATCTGACCAGCGCCAAGGATTACCACCGGAGGCACAAGGTGTGTGAGATCCACAGCAAGACAACCAAGGCGGTAGTTGGCAACCAGATGCAGCGCTTCTGCCAGCAGTGTAGTAGGTAATGATCGTGCCTGCAAACTTCCCCCCAAATTTTTTGTGGCATGATTCTTTGCTATGATGCCACTTTTAGGGATTTATGTCTATGATGCCACCAGTTGCTCTAGTGTGTGTATTGGGCCAGGGAAATGGTTTCTCTTTCCAATGTTTATGACCTCCATGTAGGCTGAGAGCATTTTAGTTACTAAAAGTTGGTTCTTCTGGTCAATCATTTAGATTTCATCCGCTCTCGGAGTTCGATGAGGGTAAGAGGAGTTGCAGGCGAAGGCTTGCTGGACACAACCGACGGCGGAGGAAAACCCAGCCAACAGATGTTGCTTCACAATTGCTGCTTCCTGAAAACCAAGAAAATGCAGCAAATAGGACACAAGATATTGTCAATCTGATCACTGTTATTGCACGCTTGCAAGGTACTTGATCCCCTACTGAACTTGATACTCTTCCACTTGTTGATTTGAACCTGATTACTATTTTTCCTGTCTCTGCATTGAAAGGTGGTAATGTTGGTAAACTGCCCAGCATCCCTCCGATACCGGATAAAGATAATCTGGTCCAAATCATAAGCAAAATAAACTCAATCAATAATGCAAACTCCCTGGCAAAGTCTCCTCCGTCAGAAGCCATTGATTTGAATGCCTCGCAGGGGCAACAACAAGATTCTTCTGTCCAAAATGCAACAAAGGTGATCGACAAGCAGACTGTGCCATCAACCATGGATCTGCTGACAGTTCTATCTGGTGCTCTTGGGACATCAACCCCCGAGACCAATACATCCCAGTCCCAGGGGAGCAGTGATAGCAGTGGTAATAACAAGAGCAAGAGTCATTCAACAGAGCCAGCATGTGTTGTAAATTCCCATGAGAAATCTATTCGACCTTTTCCCGCAGCTGGTATGATAAGGAGTAGCAGCACCCATGGAAGTCCACCTGAAGTATATAAGCAGCCAGTCCGAGATACCCATCCGTACTTGTCGCTGCAATTGTTTGGTAACAATGAGGACATTCCTGTGAAAATGGACACTGCAAATAAGTACTTGTCTTCCGAGAGCAGTAATCCTATGGACGAGAGGTCTCCTTCATCCTCTCCACCTGTAACACACACATTTTTCCCCACCCGTTCAGTAAATGAAGGCATTAGGCATCCTCGTATTGCTGACTATGGAGAATATGGTGCAACAGTTGAGAACAGTACCACTCGGGCATGGTGTGCGCCACCGCTTGAGCTTTTCAAGGATTCAGAACGGCCAACGGAAAATGGGTCACCACCAAACCCCACATACCAGTCATGTTATGCTTCAACATCTGGTTCAGACCATTCTACATCAACATCAAATTCAGATGGACAGGTAATTTATATCGAAGCTTGCTGTTTCAGTTGATTGTGTCACAAGCCAAGGTGTCATTTATTATTTTAGATGCGCTTTCAACCTAATTTGCGCACAATTTTCCATTTTGTAGGACCGTACTGGAAAGATTATATTCAAGCTCTTTGGCAAGGAACCTGGCTCAATCCCTGGGAACCTTCGTGATGAGGTATGGCCACGAAACTGTGCCAACATGGTAACTGGAAGGCACTCTTCCAGTGCATTTCACTCACCATATAATTGAAATGTTTCTCCTTCCTTGCTTAGGTTGTAAATTGGCTGAAACACAGCCCCACTGAAATGGAGGGTTACATTCGCCCTGGTTGCCTTGTACTATCCATGTATCTGTCAATGCCAACTATTGCATGGGATGAAGTAAGTCTGCTGCTACACTAGCAAAAACGAATGCATGCAATAGAATTGTTGCAAATTTATCTAACATCGTATGATTTTCAATGTAGCTTGAAGAAAATTTCCTCCAGCGAGTAAACTCGTTAGTTCAGGCTTCTGATTTGGATTTCTGGAGAAAAGGGAGGTTTTTAGTTCGAAGCGACAACCAGTTGGTGTCGTACAAAGATGGTATACATAACTACTATTTGTGTGTTAATTTTCTTCTCTATTCTTGTTCACTCTTCGATGGGCTTTGAGTATGAATTCATTTTGGTTGATATCAAATTTGTATTCCAGGAATGACCCGCCTCTCAAAATCATGGAGAACATGGAATACCCCTGAGTTGACCCTTGTGACACCAATTGCTGTTGTTGGTGGGAGAAAGACCTCCCTCGTTCTTAAGGGCCGTAATCTAACAATCCCGGGCACCCAGTAAGTTCCCTGTTGTAAAATAGTTTTTTTTGTGGGTATTGTAATTATTTCCTGCTTGACCATTGACTCTGAATCTATGCAGGATCCACTGCACCAGCGCCGGGAAGTATATATCAAAAGAGGTACTATGTTCAGCGTATCCGGGTACTATATATGATGATTCAGGAGTTGAGACCTTTGACTTACCGGGAGAACCAAGTCTTACTCTTGGGCGTTGCTTTATTGAGGTTTGTACTTTGTACCTCGGTTGCTCTAGATATGTAAAGATTTACTCTAGTTAGCACTAGGAAGGTGATTACAACTTTGAATGTTCATACGTGCAGGTTGAGAACAGGTTCAGAGGAAACAGCTTCCCTGTTATTTTTGCGAATAAAAGCATCTGTCAGGAGTTAAGAAACCTTGAAGATGAACTTGAAGACTCGCGGTTTCCGGATGTCTCTCCAGATGATCAGGTCCATGATGCTAGGCGGCTAAAGCCAAGGGATCAAGTTCTGCATTTTCTTAATGAACTTGGCTGGCTCTTTCAGAAGGCTGCTGCATGCACACCTTCCAACAAATCAGATGTTTCTGATTCAGAGTTGATTCAGTTCTCTACTGCACGGTTCAGACACCTTCTGTTGTTTTCAAATGAGCGGGACTGGTGCTCCCTCACTAAAACACTACTCGAAATTCTTTCCAAGAGAAGTATGGTTAGTGAGGAGCTATCACATGAGACTCTGGAGATGCTCTCCGAGATTCATCTTCTGAACAGGGCAGTGAAAAGGAAGAGTAGCCACATGGTGCATTTGCTTGTGCATTTTGTTGTAATTTGCCTTGACAATTCCAAACTGTACCCTTTCCTTCCAAATTATCCCGGCCCTGGTGGTTTGACTCCATTACATCTAGCTGCATCCATTGATGATGCAGAGGATATAGTTGATGCGTTGACAGATGATCCTCAACAGGTAAGCCCTGTATAATTTAACCTCTCTTTATCATAGTTATTTCTTAGTATTTCGCATTGATAACTCTTCTGTTTTTTGTTATTACTGCAGATTGGTTTGAGCTGCTGGCACTCCGTGCTAGACGATGAAGGGCTATCTCCTGAGCTGTATGCTAAGTTCAGGAACAACGGCTCATACAATGAACTTGTCACACGAAAGCTTGTGGACAGGAAGAATAGCCAGGTTACCATTGTGCTCAACAAAGGTGAAATTCATATGGATCAACCAGGGAATGTTGGTGTGAATAATGCATCTGGGATCCAAGCATTGGAAGTAAGATCCTGCAACCAGTGCGCCATTTTGGAGTCTGGCTTGCTAAGACGCCCTATGCGTTCTCGAGGATTGCTGGCTCGCCCCTATATCCATTCAATGCTTGCCATAGCAGCAGTGTGTGTCTGTGTCTGTGTATTCATGCGAGCTTTGCTGCGGTTTAATTCTGGTAGGTCCTTCAAGTGGGAGAGGTTGGATTTCGGTCCTACATAGACATTGGAGGATACCTTATTACTTAGCCGTGTGATGTTATTAAGGAACTACCTTACAAGAACCAGAAGGTGTGGAACCAGATCGCTTTTAACTGCTCCACTTTCCATGGAACTCTGTCCATGGTTATGGATGGTGAAATGTAATATTTGCATGGATAAAACCTTGCCGGAAAGAAGTGTTGATATGTGGCGATAATCAGCAGCCAGCTTCTAAGGGGAGATTGAGAATCAAGAAAAAGGGGATTGGAGAACCCTGCCAAAAGATAAACTTGGGCAGGGTTGGCACATAGTAGTTTTGTGATGAGGGAGGAAGGTACCAAGAGCTGGTCAATGTCAAGAGCAATAAGACAGAGGCAACAATAGTTCTGTGGTTAATCAGTAAGTAACCCATGATTTCTTTTTGCTGGTGTAAGTGTGAATCTGCTGTTTCATGTATCATAAGATGGTATTTATTTATCTTGGTCTTTGTTCTTACTAAATCTTTTTTGTGTATCAAATACAGTCCTACTGTTTTCTCTTGTGTTTTAGACGGTAGCAGGGGGAAGTATAAATGGTCGATAGTGTCAGTAGCTAAATAGGAATGAGGCAGATTTACATGTGTATCCGGATCTATTGGTTTATTCGATTACCATCACAACTCTGGAGTTCTCATCCTGTTTTGATAGAAAGCCTGGGTATCTATCTTTCTTTTTCTGCATGCATTTCCTTGTCCTTGATAAATAAGTACTCCCTCCATCCCAAAATAAGTGTTTTGAGCTAAGTACAAATTTGTACTAGAGTTAGTATAAAGTTGAGACACTTATTTTGGGACGGAGGGAGTACAATAAAATGCCCGTTATGCTGATTCGCTTCCGTGTTTGATGTAAAAAGTCTAGTTGTGCTGTGTTATCCTTGCGGGCGCGGGGGCCTCGTGATGCGAATGAGATGCCGGAGCTTTTCCGGATCGCGCCGTGTGTGGATCGCCGAGCGGACACGCCGGCCAGATTCTGCCGAAGTTGGCACGCCCCGGGCAGAAGCCGGACCCAGACGCGTGATCTGCACAGCTCGCCCGGTAGGAAACGATGCCTTTCCCTCCTGGGGGCGCATATGGGCGTTCCACGGCCCGTGTCGAGCGGCCGATGGCTTTCGCCCCTCCCCCTTTGCCCATCCCACATGGCTATCGGATTGGACGCTTGCTTCCCAGCCACACACACATGCAGCCACGATCGATCGGTGCCAACCCATCTCTCGCCTACAGCGACGGCACGCAGGGGCGCCGTACCCGCCCTCCCGCGTCCTCATCGATTCGCTCCGCCAGCCTTGATCGGCCGCTTTACCTACGTACGGCATCTAGTGGCGATCTAGCTGCTACTGGCACAGCAGGAGCATGTGAGCGCCCCTCTTTCCAGCCAGTTGCTTGCTTCTCTCGCCCACGCTCACCGTTCGCTGTGCCCGTGTCGATCGGCAGGCGGCGGCGGACGGTGCCGATCGCGCGCGCCTAACAAGATGGACCACGCTGTTGCGTGTGGCCATGAGCGGCACACTGGCGGTCGATCGCGAGCAGTGCGTCACGGGTAGAGGTTAGGGACTTGTGGCGTGTAGCTTTTCGGAGCACAAGTGGCCGGCTTCTCTGTCCCGTTCCGGGAGCCGGTGATGTGCAACGGAAGGAAGCGAACGTTCGGCCACACGCGACGGAAGCACCCCGTCACGGCGGGTGGAGCGTACGTTCACGTCCGCGGCCCGCCGGCTGAGAGGATGAGCACGACATAAGGTTTTTGAGCCAGTTTGCTACATAAAACGACCGAATAGAAAACATCTGCAATTTGAAACGGGATCTCCTGCAGCTGGTTCTATACAATGTTTTACCTGGAATATCACTCAATAAATACGTAGCCTAAAAAAATAGATTGTAGGGTCAACTACATTTTTTTATAGTGTAGCGTAAAAGCGCAAATCTTAGTGACTCGCACTAGGCTGCTCGCACGTCAACTGTAGCGTCAGCTACTCCACCCGTTAGCGCCTTTTCTACGCCATGACATGACCCCTACCACCACCATGACCCCCGTTACATGTGATCGATTCTTCGGCTGACTGCATGTGATACGATGGGCCTAAATGATTGCACGATCGATCAGGTGGCCCAGGGAGAAGGAAGACACGTACGATCCTCGCCGCTGCTAGCTACAGTGGCGGCTAGCCTGGGCAGACGGACGTAGCCGATCGACCCCCCTCCGCCTCCGGACAAGATAAGATGGCCTGGGTGGGTCACTGGGCGTGGCGATCAGGGACACGGGTGACCGGCCCTCGCCCGCAGCGGCAGGGCGGACGGACGACCAAGACGTGAACATCATCATACGTCTATCCACCCGGGAGAGCCGGAAAGCATCGAGGGAAACAGTCGTTGCGCGACAGCTGCGGCCGGCTGATCGCGAGCGGGGACGTGAACTGCTCTGCTTGATGGACGAGGCCGTGAGCGCGATGAGTGTCCGCGGCCGTGGGCGCCGACAGATCGATCCATCTTACACCTTGGCACACCTTTCGTAGGATGGATGGCTGGGCGGCTGGCATCAATAGTGCGCGCCGATTGACTGAAAACACGACCAACTGAACCACCACATCAGAAGACTAAACAATTCTGACAATTTTTTATAATAAAAAGTTCTGAAAGAAAAAAAAAGAGTGAAATCATAGGCGCACGCTTACAGTTCTTCTGGTAAGATTTTCTGTTACACTGCAGGTACGATCTTTTGAGCCCAGCCATGTCTTCTCTGGATATCGCTCTCGAGGTATTGTCCAAACGGCCCTCGGTAAAGCAAAGAGTGCTGCTACACACACGATATATGTTGGACGATTTGCGAACGACGGTTCAAATCAAGCTATCCATGCGTCAGGTAAAATACGAGAGGGCCGTTCAATCCGCATCATGCATAGTTTGGCTGGCGCTCGTCGTCCGCCCAGTAATTTCGTAAAGCAAAAGTGAATCTTGGCCTTCCCTAAAAAAAGGTGAATCTTGGCCCATACATGCAAAATCCTACTACTACGTATCTTCATCACAAAATTGACTAAATCACGGGTTAGGATCAATGTCACTCCCACCTCCTTTCATGATGACAAGTGATACACTGTATTTGTCATACTTGTCGCAACTGTGGGTTTTGTATTTTTTCTATTCATTCGTTTTTTCAAAACGTTCTATTTCTTCAACCATGCGCCCAAATCACGAACATTTTCACCGTTGCATTTCTCGCGTTGAGATATTCACAACTAGATCACATGTTTTTTTCAAGGAAAATGCTGCTATTTATTGCTTAGTTCATGACGATCTCCGCCGCAAGAATGACACAAATACATTCCCGGTGAAAAATGAAGCCAAGTTTTACACAACTTATTTAAGCAGTCTTCCCTGGTCAGCAGTGCAGCACGATTGGCTGTCTTGCTAGCCCAACACACATGTCGCTCCGCCATTTTGGCAAGTAGCTCCTTATCTCTTCGCTGAGAGGGCCAAACCTGGACCGATCAATGTCCTATTGCATCAACGCTTGGGCAACTCCTTTGTTATCTGTCTCCAAGATAATCTTCTCAACGCCAGCTTCGCGAGCTAATCGGATCCTTTTTTACAAGTCAACAACTCGGCATGAATTGGATCGACGGCTACCGGGATAAAATGACATGCTCCTCCCACGAACACGCCATGGGGGCCGCGGACGTCCGCCCGTCCGCCCCTAGATCACATGTTAATAATAACTTTGTGCATTCGGTTTATATGGTTTTTGATTTGCACGGTATTGATAATTGGTAAATATGGTATACATCAAATTATTTTAGTATAGTTTTAGTATATATCATAATAACCAAATTTGACGCGAATATGAAAATAACATAATAATGTTTTATAAATTTATCACTCAAAACACTTACTTTTTTATACAAACAATATACAACTATATATAAGTATGCATGTAGGGAATCTGGCTTTAGTACCTTAATAATCTTTTATGCAATGCAGTTACGAGCCGCTACGGCCTTGTACAACGTTGAGTGCCTGTACACCGTTGCTAGTTGTGTAGCGTCTTCAAATTGTCTTTGCTCTGCAATGCACAAGTGCGTCGTATAATACGAAATGCTTACCGTTTCATCCTTGGGGGGACAATGTTTTTGCTGCGGAATTTGGCACCCACGCAGATCAAGCGAGGGTGATCGAGGGCTCGCCATGGATGGTTGGCAAGCATGCGGTGCTCCTAAAGGTTTTTGACCTGAATATTCAGCCTCTTCAAGGTCAGTTTGATCGCTTGGCGATTTGGGCTCGCATTATGCAAGTTACTCCGAGGCTTATGAAGGCCAAGCTGGGAATGGAGTTTTCCAAACCTATTGGGCGGATCTCCAAG